TTATTTTCTCTGAAATCAATCTTAGGTTGAATTTTGAAACACATTTTATTTCAAAATATGAATTTGAGGCAATTTCTAAGTTTGGCTTTTGAAACAAAATTTGACAACAACTCGCTGTACAAAAACTTTTACAAGAGAAAAAATCTAACAAAACCACATAGCCGTCTCGAAACATACTGTTGGCAACGCCGTGAAAAAAATCATACAAGTAGTCAAATACTAAAAAGTTGTTGGAAAAATGGTGTTACTTACACATTCAGGGAAAAATTAGTTTCGAAATTTTTTAAATAAATCATGTAATCATGTAAATAACGTAAATCTAATTTTTAGTTAATTTTATCTAAACTATACAAATTTTAATATTAAAAATCAGTTACAATTTTATTAAACAAGCAAAAATTGTAACTGTGTTTATAATTTGTAGATTGTAAGAAAAATGATGATATGTTTCTATTAAAGTATTAAGATGATATTATTGCATGCCTGAAAATGATTGAAATTGATTTTACTTCGATGCAAAAAATTTGGCTGCGTAAAAGATCATTATTCTTAAGGTGGAAAATGAAATGACTCGTTAATGCTATTGTACATAAATAATTTTACATACAAGTGCGAGATTACATCGAGCGCTAACTATTATATGTCATCCAATTTGCGATGCTAAAAGTTAGGACAAGTTTCTAAATCTTCCGTTATATACCAGTTTGGACTACCTAGTGGTCAATATTATAAAGTAATAAGAGTAATTTCAATTATTAATCAGTTTTATGTTATTACAACGAATCGAAAATAAAGGCTCTAAATGGTCAAGCTGGATCTTTAGTGCTGAAATATTTCTATGTGAATTTATGTATTACATATCCAATCCCTCAAAAAGCGTATTTTCCCTTTAAATACGTATTTACATATATATGAGTTATTACGAAAAATATTACTAAGGTCTTGGTGATCTAAAGTTTTAACTCTGAAAACTTAGGAGCTAACGCTCAAATGAAAATGAATGCAAAAGATCCAGATTCGATCCCCGGCACAGCCGAGGTAATATTTTTTGCATTGAAGCTAGATACTTATCAGAATATTAAGATCAATTTAAGAATAAATTCGCGTAATTATTTCAGCATTAAAAATCCAGCGTAACCGTTTAGTGTCTTTATTTTCGATTCGTTGTGTAGTTACATCACGGTCTTATAAGACACTTTGTTTTGTGTTGTTATATATTTTATTAAAATGTTATAAGAAAACACTAAACACACTATACTCTATATTATTTAAAAATTAAATTTAATAGTATGCTTATTTTTCTTTCCTTTTAAATCAATAATTATATTATTTATATAAAAGTGTTTATAAAAGTCCAAATTATAAGTATTTTGTTAGAAATGTAAAATGTACGAAAATCTTGTGTTACATTAATTAAGGCCTATTTCCTTCTACGTAAAATTTACGTATCAATAACAATAGTATCACTCATATCGATAGCGTTCTAGAATTAATTAAATTTATTTCTTTTGTTTATGTGTAATAGATAGCTAATGTAATAGAACCATTATAAGAATCTTGTTAAAATAAGTATTATGTAAAGAAATTCCTGCTCTGTTACGGTCTACATATTCGTTCATTATGTAGATTTGGAACATTGATTAATATTACTTCGATCTATACGTTACTCCAATATGAATTCGCGAGTAAAGTGTATTATATTATTAACCTATCCTCGAAACCGCGCAGCTGCGTATCGGCTATCTGTCAATAAATTATTCAACAAACTGAAAGAGTCCGGCTTGATAAATAAATTTTATAAGAGTGCTACTTGCAACATCATGTTTTCTTGTAGGTTTGCCAACACATGTAGTTAAGATAGCGAGTTATCAAGGGAAACGATGGTATTCAAAACAGATTATATATATTTTGTGTGTGTATGTGTGTGTGTGTGTGTGTGTGTGTGTGTGTGTATGTGTATTTCAGTTATTTGCCTAATACACAAAAGATATTGCTTTATATGTAGATATATTCACATTCATCAGCAGCAACAGAGAAGTAATCCTTGAATAAATATTATTGAATTAGGAAAAGAACTTGAAACGAATAATATGCATTTTTCATTCGAATAGTTTTTCCAATTATTTTCAACAGTTTTTTTTTACGATTCTAATAATATTTTTCTATTATAAGACGTATTTTTATTTTCTATTATACGTAACACATCTATTAAGTATGTTATATGTGCTCTTATGACATATACAAGGTTGCTATCAAGTACTGCTCTAAAATTCCATTTTGCTTAGTAAATTTGAAAGTTTTGATTGACTATCTTGAAAGCAGTTTATGTGATAAGTAACAGTTTGCTGTCTTACATGATAAGACAAGGATGAATTTTTCATTTCAATTTAAGCTTTAACAATTTTGAAATTCGTACTACTTTTGTCTACTTTTTACAGAATACATCTCCAGTATTATCGCATATGAAAATAGTTAAGATTTTAATTAGAATTAGTATCAATGATTTGTTCCATATATAAAAATGTATAAAAGATTTATAAAATAAAAAGAATTAGGATTTAACACTTCAGCGCTAATGGATTGATAGTGAAGCGTCCTTTTCTCCCTTTTAATATTACCGAGAAGAACCTCACAGCTATCTGTGATTTTTCAATTGTTCTTTACTAGCAGATTGATTCGAGCAAAAAGAGCAATGTCATAAAAAAGATACAATCAAAATCTACGAATAGAAGAAAAAAAAAGGATTGAGAACAAAGTGAAAAAAAAAGAAGATGAAAGGTACAAAGTAGAAGCACACAAGAAGCAGAAAAGAGACATTTCTCTTCATCAAAAATCAATTTCTTAAAGATAATAAAGTGGCTATAAACTCAGAAGATAATATCGACATTACGTGATATACGAACGAGATAAAAATTATAGCGACGGGGAGACATTGGAGCGCCCCGTTGATATCATGAAATCCAAAATTAATTACAGCCAGTTATGTGTACCCGGCTTTTTCAGGAATTTTCAGGAACCACGAACGAAACTGCGAAAAGTTCACGATGAAAAAGTCGAGCCGGATTATCTCGCGACCGGCGTAGACGCTGAACGCAAACAGAGTAAATAATTAATCACCGTCCGCCAGCTGCATAAAAGATAATTTACTTTGCAGGCAGGCGGTGGTTTGAGGCATCAGTGCGATCAAATGCTGCAGCCAAAAAAAGAGATAACTAGATTACGTTTATAGATATCGCGCGTTCGCGAACTAGTTCGTCAAATTAGTTTTCCGAAAACTCAAATGACATGTATCATAAACGTGTGGCAACAATTCATAGTCCCTTTTGATTTTATTCCATTATGTCAGATGATATTAAGACAAGCAACAACATTTCGATATGCCTTCCATTTCGCCGTTGAGATAAACAAATATAGGAAAAAGGGCAAAATGAAAAGAGGGAAAAATGGTGAGGGGATCGCGATTTCAGAGTGCATCTTTTTGCTTTCTCGATTTTCTCGAACTCATCTCTATCGCGTCTTTATCTATCCTACAGCACCCTCCTTTAACTGTTTCACCTATTCTTACATTCTTACTCCCATGCTGTGCTTTTGCATTTTTTTTTGCACCCAAGGGAAACACGACGCACCTTTTTAGGAAGATAAAGAAGAAGCTGTTGTCTGGCGCGGATGCTCGCCTACGAAGCAGTCGATGCATAAGGAGACGAAACGAATAGCAGTCGCTGCATTCTCGAGTTTCTGATCTACTGATTGCTCACTCACACGATCCGATTGGTAATATAGCGAAAGAATCTGTAAATCGATCTGCTGTATACGAGTTATTTATGCATAAAAGTGACGCGAGCATGCGGATATAAATTCTCCAACTGTCATGAATTTAATCCTAAAATATTAATAACGATTGTTCCGCTTACATACAGTTTTTGTAATTAATATGAATAAAATGATAACGTTGACTATCATATTTTTCTGTATTTTGCATTAAGCATAATACCATATAAAAATTAAATACATTATTTAATATTAACATATTAGAATTAAACTTTAAAACATTAATTTGAGAACTTTAAAATGATAAATGCAGCTGCAGGTACGAACACGACAAAAAATTTCAAAATTCACTTCCAATTTGACTTACAAGTCACCAATTTAACTCGCAAATGAAATAAAACGTTTCTGCATAAATATCTGATAAAATCGCTCAATTAAATATTTCTTAAAAATTTCGTAATTTTTTGTATTTTATGCGAATTGTATTTAGAACATTTTATTAACAATAATTGAGCCTAATCGGATATATCCACTTAAATTCTTTCCCTTTCATGTACGTTGCGACGGCAGGTGTATTTTTTATCAGCGATATTACAACGCATTCTCGTAAATGGGAAGACCGCAGGCGATGGAAAAGTAACCAGTATAGTTATTGATTTTCTGTTAACTGGCTATTTCGCCGAGAGAATTACCGCAAAAGCATTTTCAATGTGTCATTTGCTCCAATGTAATATGAAGCTACGAGAAGACGCACAAAAGAATCTGTGCACGTAACCCTATTTATCGTTTACGTAACAATATATTCGCGTACATGTAGTTGCTTAATTGAAAAAACGTATCTTTTCCAAAGCTTAGAAACTTGCTTTGTCGACTAAGATTAATTCTTATATTTATTTTACGCAACAATCATTACAGGTACAAACGCACCAGCCGTAAACATTGGTAATGGATAACATCCATTACAGTACTTTTCTCTTCTGTCAAGTATAGAAACTTTTACCAAAGAGGCTTTTACTCAGCAAGAATTTCAAACAAACAATTTTACAAAAAAATAAATGTCATGCAAATAAATAACATTATGTTCTATATTTGTTGCCTAATTTTTATGAAATTTTCTTTTAAAAATTTTTAAAATATTCAAACCTTAAAATTTTAAATAAATTACATAAACAATTTCTTCTTACATGAATTAGTTGAACAAGGAAAAAACAAAAAAACTTGATTGCACTCACCAGTTTCAACCACGCGTTGGTCGTAAGTATTTGGTTCTTTTCATCCTGCAAAAAATATAAAACATTGTTATTGTACAAGTACTACAAAAATTATGCGATACATGTATAGTGTTGTGTTATATATAATTATAATTCAAGATATATAACATATTTTATATATCATGATTTTCTTCATATTAATGACTTTTGATTCAGTTGTAATATAAGGATAATAAATTGCACATAGCTATATTTCTCTTTGTTAAGATAATATAATATTTAATCATTAATTTACAATTTATTTACTCATTTTTGTTAAAGAACGTATAATTAATTTTTTACAATTTTCATTATTTTTCTAACTCTACGTACTAATAATTATGTTTGTTGTATCGTTTCATTTTTTATTTAATAACTTTCTTATTTATTAAAATATTATTTCTAGTATAAGCGATTCGTTCAATGATGACTCTATTAAAGCTAATCGATAAGTATATTAGTATGTATATTAGAAAAAGAATCTGGTTGCATTAATTGGAATTCTCCTGGACGTAGAAAATAAAAATTTATAGAAAATTAGAATTTTATAGTTAAACCTATTATAATTCTAGTCGAGATAACCAGATCTCCAATTATCATGATCACAATTTTGATTGATGTAATCAGAATCTTACTAATTGTTAATTATAAATTTTTCTTAGTGTATACATATATCTTTAAATATAACTCGTATCAAAACACACACACACACACACACACACACACACACACACACACATTATTTTTTTAAATTATAGAAATCTTTGGTTTCCTTAGTTTGCAAGAATTTAATCATTTTTATGTTATTATTGCAATATAATTATATATATATATATTTATGTGTGTGTAATATATATATATATACATATATACACATATATACATATATATTTAATATATGGAATTATAAGTTTTATTTATCATTTTACAAAATGTTACACGTATTCACATCTTTAATATAAAAAAAAATATATATGTCGTGGTTAACTTCTTAAAATTTAGGTAATATAAACACATCAATTAAATACGAAAAGCTCCACTTATTAAATATATTAAAATAATATTAAAAATAATATTAAAATATATTAAAATAATATTAAATAATAATATTACTTTTTTATTTTCTCCTATTAATAGACATTGTGAGTTATATTTCAGTAATAATGAGTTTGCGGACATATGTTCATATGAATTTTTTTTCATGTTTAGTGTGGGAAGAAGCTTGGCCCTGAAGTTTATTACGCCCTTACTTTAGTTACATCCCGTATATGTATTTTAAATCAATTTATCTCAGAAATATGACTGCGCGTCGATTCGTTTCGAATTTTTAAAACACAATCAATCTAAATTAATAATAATCCTCTCTCAAATTTAATTAGAAGTATCTTAAAACTTGTAAAGAACTTATTGCGAAAATAAAAGTATTTTTATTTTAAAAAACTATGGCCATCTTACCCGAGTTTACCCTATCTATCTCATTCACGTTGACGCGCAAACTCAGTCATACGTTTCACTCGATGCGAGCAAACAGTACATGCATATGGCAAATATTTATTCACAAAATGAGTTGGACGTGTGATTTAACTTCACTAGTGCGCGCTCGATAACATGTATTATGCTCACGTAAAAAACTTTAAAAGCACTAACAAAATCATATTATTTGTGTGAATATTCATATTGTGTTTAACGTAAAATTTTAATATAACAAATCAGAATTGTTGCAATTTAATATAGATATGAAACATAATTAGGAATAGTTGTATAATTAAATTAAAAGTCATTCATCATTAAGCAAAGACATAAATTAAAATTAGAAGCTATAAGTTATATAAAATTGCTGTTATAATAGAGATTTTCAAACAGAAAATATTTGATTATAATGTACGCGCTAAACATTTCTTTGCAGCGAGAAACCTTACAATTGCTTTATCCGGTCAGATTGCATATAAATATGCGGCACTAAGAAAATCTGAAGGATCGTGGACAAAGGAAAAAGTAACGACGAAAATGCGATCCAATTGTAAGAATTCCTGCTTAGAAAAAGATAACCAATAACGGTGAATTGCCGGTTGTAAATTTTCTCTCTGGTGGTTTTAACCGAGTCGGTTAAAAAGAATCGTCCTCTCATACTGTGTTATCGAGAGTTTCGAAGTAATTTACAAAACAAAATAGTGTTTTCGGCATTGTTGCCGTCAGACAAACTCCATATTCCTATAGGCACTCGCATTAATTGAATTCTCTAGGTGCGTTTCGCGTTACTGTACGATGTAAAACGAGAATAAATCAGTGAGTAGAGAAGATTGAAAAGAGTGAGTATGAGTGAGCAGTAAATATTTGAAAATCTTCTCTCGCAAAAAACGTCAAAAAATAGTAAGATGTGGTTATAAGTTGTGCAGATGCATCCTTCATATTGTTTGTTAATTTAATCAAAATCTGCTGCTGTATTTTACTAATATATTTAACTATATTAATAATTTATATAAATATTTCATCGCTTATATTACAATATACATACTCGAGTAATTGTAGAAAATATTGCAAAAATTTAATTTAAAAAATTAACTAAATTGAAAAGTTAAGAATTGAGAATTATACAAAAAGGTACAAATTTAAATTCCAATCTTCTCGTTAAGCGATTTGAAATAATATTCAATCAAGTTTGTATCATTAAATTGTATTTGAAAAATACATGTTTTCAGTAAGGAAACAAAAATTTGGTTTTACCATCGACAAAATTATATTTCGCACTAAATGTAAAATTGTGATCTAAAAATATTTAAATTTGTGACTAGTAACTTTCTATTTGTTTATATTGTTGTAATTCATGAAAGAGACTAAAGAGATAAACTTTTAGAAAAAGCGCAATAAATAAACTCGAAAGAAAATGATTCCAGGTTTTTGTCAAATTTTTTTTCTGTTTTCTTGTTGTGCAGTAAACTTAATGGCGAGGATTTTGTGTGACAAAGATACCAGTCGTACGACTCGCATATTTCTCTTGCAGTCACGTCTTTTCGCGCTTCCGCTTCCGCTACGTCAACGTTCTTTATGTATGAGTAACACGGACGCGTTTTGTCACGACTGACTCATTGGCGCAACATAATTACACCTTGCGACAAAGACTAAAAACTTACGGCATAGTGCAATGTTCATCACTCGCAGTGTCAACTTGAGTAAAAGTAAATGAAATTACAAGATGTTACAAATTAATGTTATATCGTGAATCATGAGATGATCATAATTGATATCAACAAAGTTATTGCAAAATATTTCTTGGTTTTAAATAGATGTTACAATAAATAAATAAATAAAAACCAATTTCCTTGATTAGAAGAAAAGTGAAAGAGAGAGATATACATATTTTCAGATAAAAATAATTTTTCCGGAACGTCTATAAATTCTTCAGTTTTTCGTAACAGACAGTGTTTTACTCAGTTGGGTGTTTTATATGTAACATATTTTGCGTTACAACTGTCGACATGATATAACAATCTATCACACGCGCTGAGCTCAGCTCAAAACGAAATCCGGCAAGCGGAATGAATAAAAAGTGCGAATTTCACAGCTCGCTTTGCCGTCTAAAATGATGCGAAATTGGCATATGGATTCCCCGTGACGTCGACATTATTCGACAGAATTTGCGGAGGTACACAAAATGTGCGATTTCTGATCGATGAAAGTCCAAGAGTTTTATTTCGCGGCTAACAATGGTAGCTAACAATGAATACTGCATTTCTTTCGTTTCCCTATGAATGAAATATATTACGGATTGAATTTTTATCAATTTTACTGTATGGGGAGACCGTCCATGAAAGAAGCTGTTCAAGCCGTTTAAATAAATACCTATCTCTGTGTACCGTTACACGATTTATTCACCAAGAGAAGCAAGAAATCTTAATTAAAGATTACATTAAAAGAGTGATTAATCAAGATAATTAACGTCATCAGGCGCTGACAAAGTACATAAACATTCGTCAAGTAGAAATGCGAGACCGTTTCGGAACAGGAGTTCCTGCAATATACACCATGATTAATCGATCGAATGTGTCGTGCGACGCAAAAAGTTCGACGACGCGTGTATTTTGACCGTATAATGCACAAGTTGCATATGTGCATTACATAAGCAAAACCTTGAACCTGTCACTAATAATTTACAGTCGCTATATATTCTGTTATTTTGCATTTTTTCGCATTTTAAAGAAGAAAGCACGAAAACAATATTAAATTTGGATTATGCTTCGATATTATTTTTCACTATTTTTATTTATAAGCTATACAATTTATGGATTTCATAATAAATAATATATTATATTTTGACGGTAATAAATAGAAAAAACAATAAGACAGCTGAAAATACAATGAAAATATCTCCTTCCGTGAGACTAGAAGATATGTCTCGCTCGATTGCAGCAGAAGTGAATCAAAGTAGTGCGACTCGACGCCATATCGACCATGAGAATAGAGAGAGTAGAAAAAGCCGCGATTAAGCGCGACCAAATGTTTATGACCTATAAACATAAAAAGTTTATAGTACGCTGAAGAGCTTGGAAACGAAATTAAGAAAGATGTAACCGTTGTTCGCGATATAACATTTATAGTAATTATCATAAACATTGCATTAGTATTTATATAATGCAATAATAAAACAGTTTTTCGAGAGTTAATATTTTTCGCGTAAATAATAGTGTTGTTTCATGCTTTTCAGCTACGCAAAAATGTGATTAGTTTCATCTTACGACTTTCGCGAATGTCGAAAGTTCTATTGATCTTATTTCGCCATCACGTTCTCTGATTTACCCAATATACGGAATTAGGTTTCTACCATTATAAACTTTTCTACTTATGTGACCAATTAAAGGGTCTCCACTTTTACGAAAAATTTCGCTTTCCAATTCCGACATCAAATGAAAGTTTAAATTTAATATATTAACGAAGAACTTTTTTGGCTGGTACTTCAATATTTATTAAATTATGTGAAGTGCCATTTTAATAAAGGATAAATTCAACTACGATTAAATTATGTCAAATTC